TTTTTTGTGTATAGACAGCGGACTGGCAAATCCTAGTGGCTCCAACCAAGCCCAACAACAGTCTCTGATGGCAAACGCTGCTGTCGCTGTCGCTGCTCTGGCCAACACCGGACTCTGGCCACCGACTGCGCCCTCTGCGAACGGTCCTGGTCAAATGCCGGGCACCGTTGTGTCCAACGCCGGCGGCGGCAGTGGTAATTGGATGCTTCCGTCTCAACCGTCTGTCCATTCGCAGTACCCGCCTCCTCGGCCAATGAACAGTGGGACCAGTGGCTCCTCCTCCTGCATGATGTCTGCCAACGCCCAGGCCAATTCAACTGGATCGGGCAACCTTCTTGATGAGCAGTAACTGCTGTTTTTACCTACTCTGACCACATCTTCGAGCTGCGGCTTTGCTCGTGAGGGGACGAGAGAGGGGAAAATATGGCTCTCCTGCTTCGTCTTTCATGTTGGTTTGTCTTCATTTGGCCCGCCTTTCCAACCTCACCACACGTGTTTCTCTAGCGGCATGTTGCATACATACACAGGTGTATACACTTCCGTACCCGTGTCCATCGCCAAACGCTCCCGAGGCTTTTTCAATCGCGTCTCCCAAGCTACACCCAAACCACACGCCACTATCACCTGCCGTTAAATAATTGTCTTTATTCTGTTTTCTCTTCCTCGTGGTTTTCGTTTTACACACACAACCAAGACCTTACCCACTTCACACTACTTCCTCCCCCCCTTCTCTTTTTTCGAGCACTGTCGTCCATTTCCGCCGGATGAAAAAAAGGACATTTACTTTCTCCAGTCTTCTACCCCGTGTCCCCCAATTCCCGAAAAGCGTGCTTCACGGCAATCTCAATATACTACTTTACAACAGGGGCGTTTGCTCGTTTGTATACCAACCTATAAATACGTAAACTTTACTTGTTAAAACCACTTTGGCGTCCGGTGGGCTTTCACTGATGAACTCCGCTATTCGTTGCCCTCGCTGCCATACACCGGCGCAGGGAGGCGCAGAAATATTTGTCCCAAAATTGTTGT